AAAAAAAAAAAAAAGTTAATTTTATAGAAGTAAAGGGTAGCATGGTGGGAAGCAGAGACTAGGAAAGGCAGAAGGGAAGGGCGAATGGGAGAGGTTGGCCAAAAAGTACAAAGTTATAGTTATATAAGAATACAAGTTCCGGGTGGCACCTTTATCTCAGTGGGTAGGATGCTGGCCACATACACCAAGGTTGGTGGTGTTCAAACCCAGCCTGGGCCAGCTAAAACAACAATGACAACTGCAACAGAATAAATTGCTGGGTGTTGTGGCAGGCACCTGTGGTTTCAGCTACCTGGGAGGCTGGGGCAGGAGAATTGCTTGAGCCCAAGTGTTTGAGGTTGCTGCGAGCTGTGACACCATGGAACTCTACCCAGGGTGACAGTAAGACTCTGTCCCCCTCCTCAAAAAAAATAATACAATTTCTGACAACTAAGTTCTCAAACTTGTCCTATTAAAGTGCTACATACCTCATTGCCGAATATAACTATAGTCACCAGGTGGCCAATGGAAAAACTTTGAAGGTGACCGTAGTGATATTCAGTAATGAGGTATGTAGCACTTTTTCTAGGGTGAGTTCACAAACTTAATTGTCTGATCTCATACATTCTGGTATTCTCTTACATTGTAGGGTGACTAGAGCAAACCGCAATGTGGTGTATATTTCCAGATAGCTCAAAGAGAAGTCTATCAGACATTTAAAGAACAGCTAAGACCAATTCTTCTTAAATTCTTTAAAAATTAAAGATGAGAGAATCCTTCCAAACTTATTCCACAAGGTCAACACTACCCTGATTCTCAAATTAGACAAAGACACCCAAAATAGAAGATATTGAATCTGAACACTACAAAGATATGATAAATGTCTAAAGCAAACAGATATGGTAATTATCCTGATTTGTTTCTTATGCCTTATGCATATGCATTATAACCATGTATATATGAATTGTAACACCACACTGTACCCTATAAACGTGTACAATTATTATGTATCAATTATAAATGAAAAACCAATCAATTAATAAAGAACAAACAATAAAGATGGTAGCCAATAGTTTGCTTACCCATGCTCTAGTCTAGCAGATAAGGGATTTTTTTTAAAACATAGCTAAACGTTATGCTATTGTCACAACAAATAAAATTAATAAATAATAATTTCCTAAAATCAACTAATAGTAACATCATATTTATTGAAAGTTCTCTGGTTGTGTCAAATTGTTTTTTCAAATCAGAATTGAAAACAGTTCATACATTTCATGTGGTTAAAATGTCATTCTAGCCTCCATAGCCTGTAACAGCTTGCCCATATTTACTTTCTTCCCATGACATTTATTTGGTTTTTTTTTATTTGAGACAGAGCCTTAAGCTATCCCCCTGGGTAGAGTGCCATGGCATCACAGCTCACAGCAACCTCCAACTTCTGGGCTCAAGCGAGTCTCCTGCCTCAGCCTCCCAAGTAGCTGGGACTACAGGCGCCCCCCACAACGCCCGGCCATTTTTTTGGTTGCAGCCATCATTGTTGTTTGGCGGGCCGGGGCTGGGGATTCGAACCCGCCACCTTAGGTGTATGTGGCTGGCACCTTAGCTGCTTGAGCCACAGGCACTGAGCCATAACATTTATTTGTTAAAAAAAAACTGGGTTGGCTGGACATCATGGCTCATACCTGTAATCCTAGCACTCTGTGAAGCCAAGGCAGGATTGCTTGCACTCAGGAGCTCAAGAATACCCTAAGCAAGAGTGAGACCATGTCTGTATTAAAAATAGAAAAATTAGCTGGGCGTGGTGGCTCCTGCCTATAGTCCCAGCTACTTGAGAGGCTGAGGCAGGAGGACCGCTTGAAACCAGAAGTTAGACATTGCAGTGAGCTATGATGACACTACGCTACTCTACCCAAGCTGGTAGAGTGAGACTCTGTCTAAAATAAAACAAAACAAAAAACTGGGCAATTTCCCCAACATAATTGCATACATCGAATTAGCTGATTGATTGTTTAGGCTTTGTTTAATTTGTTAAACAAAATTGAATTTAGTTGATTGATTATCATGCTTTTATCTAATTTGTTATTACATCTTCCATATTGTCTCGCATCTAGTAGTTAGAGTCCCAGGGGTCCTCAAACTTTTCAAACAGGGGGCCAGTTCACTGTCCCTCAGACCATTGGAGGGCTGGACTGCAGGCCTCGGGACAAGTTGGCTGCTAAGCAGGACAGGCAGTGGTAGCAAAAACATCCAGCGGGGCCAGATAAATGTCCTCGTCGGGCCGCATATGGCCCATGGGCTGTAGTTTGAGGACACCTGCTAGACTGAGAGGATGATTAGGCTCAGACTCAATGTGTAATTTACCTAACCAGAGTCTCTAATGAGAATTTAGGTATTGAGAATACTACATTGGGATTCTAGCTCTGATTATTGGTAATGAGACTAGATTATGACCCCACACCAGCTCTCATCTCCCCTTCTCACTTCAAACTTCCAAAATGATGGAAAAATTATACTAAGTATTGTGATAAAGGAAAGAATGTTCTCAGAGGACCAGAAATTGTGAAGCAGTCCTAAAAGTAAGAAATCAGATAGGATCAGATTAAACAAAGAAATAGTAACCCAGAACATAAAAAAAAAAA